CAGAAAATGGGGGGGAAGTAATACACCAACACTTTCACTGTGGGCTTCTGTTCCTCTTACAGAGGGAAGTGCTGACAAGGGGCTGCACACACCTTCCCCAGGTTAAAAAGGAGAGGGGGAGGCTGATGTTGTTGGGTTTCAGGGTTCCCGTGGGATTTGTGCAAGGTTTAATTCAAGGAAGTGCTTCAGGAAGTACTGAAGCAGCAGGGAAGCCATCGGTCAGGTACCTGCGTGTTCCAAGGGCTGTCTGACACCAGCACTGGATGCAAGCAGGCATTTCTTTTCAAGCACAGCTGGAATAAGAAGCAGAGATGATCCCTTTGTCGTTTTTGTTGGATTTTTTGGGGGTTGTGGTTTTTCCCACCCTCCTTAACATAATTTTTTTTTTTTTTTTTAACAATTTACTCACTTTTTAAAGTTTTTACCCACATTTAAAGTTTCACAAATGCTGCTGTAAATCTTAAAACCTCATACAGAAAACAACAGTATTTTAAGGAGCATGCAGGCATGAGCAACTTACAGGCTTGTACTTGAAATGTAAACTTACATTTTATTTCACAAGGTTTACATCCCAAAAGAAAGCTGGAGAAGGAAGAAATGAGGCTTTTAGGAAAGAGAAAATGCAGGAAGTGGGATCCTGCTCTAAGCAAAGCCAGCTGGGTCTGATGATGGAACCACAAACCAATACCTGACAAACAGAGAGATTAATTACAAATAAAATGCGTGGCACAACTGCATAAAATGACACCTACTCACCTTCACAGTACCCCAAAAAAACCAGCACAAGCTGCTCAAAGCTGAAGATATTTAACTGTATGTTCAGGAGGAAGAGGGAACACTCAAAGTGGGATGGAAAAAGGACAGGAGACTAAAACCCTGCAGCAGTGGGTGCAAGCTCAGTGTTTGTGAGCAGGGCAGGGTCTGCCAGATCAGTCTGCCACACAAACACCTTCAGTGATCTGTTCAGAATGAGTGGAGGTTTGCAAGTGTTCTGTAATAACGTAGAAGCGGATAGAATTGGAAAAATATCAATAAAATTGAGGTATTTTCAAGTACTATGGATCCATTTCAGAAATCTGTACCACAGGAGTCATTGAAATTAAAATATGACCCTTTTGAGTTAATTAATTCTGGCTTAATAAACAAGGTCAGCAGTGGTTCCTCCCCCTGCTAATTAAACCCTTCCATGAGTGCACCAGCTCTGTGCAGAGTAACTGCTCAGCAGAGTAACTGCACAGAGTAACTGCTCAGCACGTCATTCTTCATAGCTAAATACAGGGAAAAAATAATTAACTTTTTTTATTGTTTCCCCTTGACATTTTACATTCATATCATATTACAGACTTTATGCCTCAAGTTGTGCTTTCATTCCAGACCAGCATCTAGAACTACGGAGCTGCAGCTGGTGTGGATTTTGCCGAATCCATTCCTGTTTGTCCCAGGAAGCAAACATTCATTGCATAGTGTGGTTTGGAATCTTCCTGATTCTCACCAGTGACTGCACCCCACACACACTGGATACAGCCTCCTCAAACATAGAACTGCTCCCTGCTTGGAGGAAAACAAGATTATCCTACTTCAAAATCTTCCAGCTCAGCAAGAGAAACCTGGCAGTGCAGTGAGGATTGCACAAGTCCTGGTTCCTTGGGCAGGACTTGCTGGCCCAGGACTGGACTTAGGACAACTCCACACAGAGAAACATCAATGTGATGCTCTGTCTGGGTTTTTGTACCTGAATGTAAATGGGAGAGAAGGGGGAGAGAGAGGTGAGGAGGTGAGGTCAGTGGTCAGTTATTTTAGAGGATGAATCCAGGAGTAGAGGGATAACAATGGAGGCCTCACAGTAAAGTCCAACAAAAGCATTCCCTCGTTCCTGTGGTGACATCACTTGGAAAGGTTGTTCATAGCTGAGAAAGCTGTAGTGCAGCTCCAATGCTAAGCAGAGCAAACAGCCCCTGGAGGGGGTTGAGACACTTCCCAGGTTGGAGTGGAACACCTTCAGGCACACAACTGACAGCAGCACCAGAATTGACTCAAACCTTTACAATTCTCCAGGTTCTCTGACTGGAGCTGCATCTCCAGCACACACCCAGAGAGTGACAGTGAACACTGGTGGCTGCTGCTGGCACATGGAGGGCTCAGGGTGTACCTGGAGTGCTGGGACACCAGCACAGGATGAACTGGAATCGCTGGGCAGCTCCCAGAGCTGCAGTACCCTTGGTGTTGATGGGACTTGGTGGGATGAATCCCACTCCTGGAACGCTGGGATGGAGGGCAGGTAGGGGAGAGGTTTGATGATACAGCCCTTACAGTCAGTGATGATGGTGGAGAGCCTCTGGATGAGGATCAGGGCATGGAAAACGAAGGAGGTGCTGCAGTGGGTTACCCCTGAAGAGCCATTTGCAGGTTAAAAGAAACTACCACACACTGGGCTGAATATTCTCTCTCTTGTCACCTGCAGCAGTGACCACGTCAGCCTGAGGAACTTCTCTCTTCCAGTGCATTTACTCAGCATAAAAAGCACAAAGGCCAGGGGTAAAATAAGAATATCACCTTAAGTAGGCGGAAGGGAACAAAATGGAGCTGCTCACTCAGACATGTGGGTTTTCCCCATTCTGTTCTGCCTCATTTTACACAACTTTTGGGTTTGTTTCACATTTCATGAAGCTTTCCAGCATCTGACATGTGGATATTGAGAAGTGGCTCTGAAGTGGTAAACTCTGTATTGTTTCCACCCGGACAAGAGTTCGTTGCAACCGTGGGAGGCTTTTAGTTGCTTTGAAGGAAAGGGAAGAGATGACCCTAATTAATTACAAGAAAAGTGACTCAATAAAAGTTACTTGGAAACATTTGAAAACCTTTCTTAAACTGAGCTTGGTACCTGTACCATCATGAAGATATCTGGCTTAGTATTAGAAGACAAAGCCTGATTTTCTGTACTCCCTAAGGAGCAGTGCAGCAGCAGGAACAGGCAGGGGAGCTCCTGCACAGCTCTGCTGCTGCTGCCTGGCACACAAACAACTCAGATAATGGCAGGGCTGTAACCAGAACCAAGCCCAACAAGGGCACAAGAACCTGCTCAGAAATCCACACAACCTCTGGAAAAATACACTTCAGCTGACAGGATGAAACAAAGTCATCTTCCTGGTTTTATATACAAGGAATTTAAAGTTTTTAAAGGCACAAATAGCACCTCTGTAGGTGCTAAATTCTGGCTGTGTTTAGCTGCCATCATCCTCTCAAGCTCCCTCTCCAGAGCCAGGAATGAGGGGATTAATTCAGCTGCCACATTGCATCACACACAGCACAAGGTCCAACACCAGATTCACATTAGAAATGCAGCTTCAGATTGACAGGAAAAACCCTTCCAGCACTCAGCAGCAGTTTGGTGACAAACCCACTCAACAGATGGGGCTCAGGTGGCTGAAGCAGGAACATTTTCAGTGCTCAGGGCCACCCTGAGGAGAGACACAAAGCCACACAAGCCTGGGCCAGCCCACCTTGGTCCCTCACAACCAAATTCAGCAGTGAGACATCGCAGAGAGGTCAGCAATGCCTGCTCCACACAAACTGCAGAGGCTGAGGACAAAATTCCCACCCACAGAGCGCGGATCAACCAGGAGTTTAACACCTTTTCTTAGGGAAGGAACCTCTGCAAGGCTCTCCTGGCTCACAACCACATTCCCTGTGGCAGCAGCAGCAAAGGAACAGAGGAAAAAGGGGTTTAGTCTGCAAGCAAAGCCTCCATCACCAAACTCACTCAGCAACTCCTTTCTCCTGACATGCACAGCTGCTCCTGTAGTCACTGCCAACATCAATGGGCTGTTAAACACAAAAATGGGATAGAAAATGGTACTAAATGATCTTAGAGGCAGTACAGCAATACTTTTAGCATGCACCTAATTCAAACAAGAATGATGGACTGGGCTGAATCATGCAAATAAAAAAAAGGACTCAGGTCTAGAAAAATGTCCACAATCCAGCAAGCCAAGTCTCAGTTCCATTCCCCAGAACAAAAACAGGGATCCACCTCTTTGACTGTAAATGCAGCAAAATGCAGAAACAAATCTGATCACCTCTTAGTGCAGAAACCCCTGAAGCCAGTCAGTGCACTGAGCTGGGAAGAAGTCTGATAAAATTCAATATATCAATTGTGTCTTCAACATTTTGGGGTTCAAACCACCCCTGAGGAGTGTAAACTCCAAACACGACTCATGGAGCCACACTTTCAGTGCACATTTCAAACTCACATCTTCCTTTCTCACTCCATGAACACACAAATCTCCATCAAATACTGATCCAGGAATGAGATGACATTTTAGCCCTAGGAATTAATGCAAATTGGACTGTCTGAAGTTCCCTTTTGCATTTTAGGAGCCTGCAATTAGGATGCAAAAGCACTATTACCCAAACTCTAAGACAATAACACCCTCCTAAAAAACAGTTTTAAAAAATCTATGGCCACAATATTCTTGAATCTTGATACTGACAATGTAAATATTTTATTTTCATTCACAGATGCACATGTACATGTGCATGTTCAGCGCTTTTGCTTTCAATATTCTTACATTCAGCTACCAATTTAGTGCCAGATTTAACTGGGTCTGTCTTGCATTGAGCTGAACTGACTTAGAATTTAAACACATTAGAAAATGTCACTTGTCAGAGAAGGTTGGAGAATAAGCCTCAAAATAAATAACCATCCCCAAGAATATTATGGCTTGGAAGAATTTCAAGAGCTCGAGTCCCTGATGTTTGCAAAATGAAAAGGCCTTTGGAAATGCACTCGCATCAACATTTTTACCTGTTTTGAATAAAAAATATATAGTATTTATAAAATAAAGAGAGCAGGCCAAAGAAGATTGGCCAGAATCACTCTGTAAAATTGTTCTGTTAAGTCTGTAAATTAAACTTATAAAGCCTTGGGACATCTGGACAGCAGGATTCCTGGAGAAGCACTCTAGAATGCAGATTCCCATCAGACAATACTTCAGGATGTTTTTTCATCTTGAAGATCCACCTGTTTTCTGACCCTCAAAGCTGAAGTCCTTGCCAAGAGAAGGGATGTTGGCTCCTGAGAGGGAAGCTGAAATTTAAAGAAATACAAATGTGCAACCACAGCACTGCTCTTATGAGGGATTGAGGGCTGATCTGGGCTTTGGGAGTTGTTTTAAAGCCATGAAGAACAACAGGAAAATGCTGATTTTGCCTGCCCTGGTGGGATGGCAGGATGCAGCCCTCACTGCTAACAGAAAAATACTCTGGGTTTTTTCTTAGTGCACTTCTATAAGGTGCCAGAAGCCCATTGGTAGCAATGTGGAGGGGCCCTGTGTGCCAGGGGAGCCAGGCAGGGGTTGCAGTGCTCTGTCACACCAGTTATTGACTGCCCTGGAACTGAGAGGGGCAAATTCCAGCTGGCAATTCCACCTCCAGCCAGGGGGACAGCAGAGGATGTTCCTGGAATCTCGGTCAGTTACATTCCCCTGGGACAACAGGACACTGTCCTCCTCACTGCCTGCAGCTCCTGGGGCAGGATGTGTGTGTGGGGCATCTGCCCCGTTCTCCAAGTCAGAACAGGGGGCAGAGCAGGGAATGTTCTGGAAGCAGCTGGTGTCAGCTGTTGTCACCTTTTCCAGGGTGAGGGAAAGCCTGGAGAAGAGTGACAGCTGATGTGACATTACAAGGCACTTCCTTGTATTCCCAGCTGCCACCTGGCTGTGCTCAGCTTCAGTTCAACACCGCACCTGCACCTTCCCACACCTCCCCTGGATCCCAGAATTTCCATCTTGTCACTGGCCAAGTCACTGCAAGGGTCCTTCCTGCCCTGTTTTCCAGAGGAGCTGCAGGGTTGGTGTCCTTCCCTTTGGAGAGTGCTGGTGGCTCTGGTGTCACCTGTGCCAGCACCCAGCCCAGGGCCACTGAGAGCCTCAGCTTCCCATCAGGGCCCCTTCAATGAGGGATTTCTGGGCAAACTGGAGAAATATTTTTCTGCTAAAGCCCAAACCTGTCCAACATCACCTCCCCACACCCTGCAGTGGTTTTGAGGGAAACAGAGAAAGAAACACTGACCTTTCTGATCCAGCTTTACACCACTGTGCTTTCACACTGCTATGTCTCCCTTTCTATGGCAAGGGATGAGGCTTCACCAGAGCCTGTGAAAACCAAAGCAGTTAGAGGTAAATAAATCTGTTTTTCTCACTGAGAATACATTTTTTCACTAAGCATGGAATTGTGTTTTTAAGGATAATTACAAACAAAAATAGACAACCACTTGTCAGAGGGAACTGAACAGCTGTTTTTAACTGAGATTACTCTATTATTTGCCTTATTTATTTCATAACCAAGTCACAAGCTTTAAAAAGCCACAAAGACAAATAAAGGTCTTGCAGTTTTAATGGAACATTTCAGGTCTTTCTGGTTAGACATTTTTACTGGTTTAGCTCTGTTGTGTAAGAGAGAATCTGAATATTTCAGTTGAAAGGACCCACAGTGATCACCCAACTGCCTGAAAATGTCAGTTATTTTATAAGCACTATAAATTGGGAGACTTTATATAAGCTCCTAACCATAATCTGGGCTCTGATCTAGCCAAAAATCACCTCAGTGTCACTGTATTCATATGGAAGAATTAATTATTTATTCAGATAATTTAAAGTTTGTAAAAATTGGAAGAAGCTCTGACTCATTCCTAAAGGAGTTATTTTAAGCATCATTAAAAATTCACAGGAATGACAAAAATGCACAGGAATTCTGATGGTTTCAAAACTTGTTTGTGTTACCTTGTGTAAGTACCAAAATGTATAGAACCAGCCAGGAAGAGCAGGTAAATTTACTCTGGCAAAAAAGCTGGATAAATTATAAAGCAGCTTCCTAAATATATCCCTGCACTCAGGTGTTTGCATGCCTGTTTTCACACACTCTCAGAGGATAAATACACTTTAAAAAATCTAAATATCCTTCTTCTTGCAGGCACCACTTTACATCCCAAATAATTGTGCTGCATGCAGCAACATTTACATGTAAATCCTCTCAGTTTGTAGCAACTTCAGTTTCTCTAATCCTTGAAACACCCTCTAAGTTCATTCACTTGTGAGTAGAAAGCTGCTAAAAAAAAAGTTTTTTCCAAAGCAGAGCTTATTTTTAGTCTGCGCTCATTAATCAAGTCAGAGCTACCCAGAGACTTAACCAACACAGTTTTTAAATTTGATTAGCTCTTATAATTCATCTACTGGCCACTGCAGGTCAGGACAACTAATTTCACTGATTTCCTTACCCTGAGGCTCTTCATCTATTCCATCCTCTTCCCACTGCTCCTCATTTATCAGGAGAGGGTTCCGAGCTTCACTCAAGGCTCTCATTGGGAAAAAATGTCCATCCCCCTGGCTGCAAGGAGAAAGGCAGAGAGGGACACTGCAAAAGCAGCAAGTGACTCTAAAAGATGACAATTTCCCTACATTGTTTCTGCAAAGTTTTCTGTTGCCAGTATTTTCCATGTTCACTTAAAATCTTCTTTAAGCTTTGAAAAGCACCATGTTTATATTTCATTTTGGTTCTCAATTTTTTCAAGGTCTCTGGAGTACAAAAATTGAAACTTATGGCCTGGAATCAGGCAATTTTTAGCAGAAGGTAAATGTGTTAATTTGATCAAGTCATTTGAATACAGAAAAAAAAAACTGGAAAAACTAACTTGTGGATAGTTAGAAGTGACAGGGGAACTAAGGAAAACATTTTTGAAAAAGAAGCAATTAATAGGTATAAATTTTATCATTTTATCCCACAAATTCAAGGCAGAAATCTCACTTATGTTTGGCTGACACCCAAGAGAAAATGTCCCCACTCTTACTGAAAGATAGATTAAAAACCTCACTTTCCTGTGACCTAAACCCATACATAAAATGTGAAAAACTATAATTATATCAGCTTTTAGCACTTTAGCTTTTAGTAGGGTTACTTACCTAGAGGCAATAGGCAGCAGCCAGAGCTTTTTTTTTTCCCCAAACACTTGCTGGAGATTCTTCACAAAGCCAAGATTGAATCCATTTTTATCTGGGCCATTTTGAAACACTGGAGCTGAGAAAGCCTCTGCAAACAGAGGCAATTTCAGTGGAGAAAAAAAAATGAAAATCAATGCCAAACACTCTGAAACAGGGTTGTTCATCTTGTAGCCATCTAAAGACAATGTGATTTAATGGATTATAGAGATACAGCACTACAAAGTTTCAAAATAATGGTTTTTTTTCCCATTTTGCAAAGCCTGTAAAGGCTTTACAACTGAAGACAGGAATTTGGTTGTGCAACTGAACCTAGAGAAGAGTCAAACCAACCCACAATGGGTTGTTTCATCCAGAGAATGGAGTTAAGAGATGTTTCTGTGAGAGTTGATGAAATTCAGAGGGTAAAAGTTTCTAGGTAAAAAAACTGTGCAGAATGAAGTAGCTTGGCCTTCAATGCATATTCCAGAAGTGGCACTGCAGATTTAAATCACCTCACTCGTTAATGTTATAATGAGCAAGCACTAGGGACAAACAACTGCAAATAAACTCTGGGTTCTGGTGAGGCATAAAATTAAGAAAAGAGAGGAGAGAAGAACCTTGAGTGCCTTAGGAACAGCTTGATCTTCCTTCTCAGCTGCTGCACAGGTCTGATGTTTTGGGATAGATGAGCTTCAGTGCCCCATGAAATGACTTTTGAGGTAAAGAACTAGATAAAATCAGAATATTTGCTCACTCTTGATCGTGTCTGTTTTGTCACAAAACTTTATCCCAAAAGCTTTGAAATTTGAACATTTATCTAAGGAAAGGCAAAGAACTTTAGGTAAAATGATACTATTTTAGATGATAATTTCTTTGGTTTTACAGTCACAACTTCTTTGCCTTTATCAGTAAAGATGGACACTGTGTTTCCCAAGCTCACCAAGCTGGCTGGGATGTACCCCATCACAGGAACATAACAAACCCTTATTCCTGAAAAGCTGCACTCATTTCACAGCAAATGTAATTTTACATATGCATAACACACACTTCTATAATTGGACTTCTACACTTTAAGGCTCTGGTTTCCCTAACAAAGCTTTTGTCACACCAGCTAATAAATGCAGCTCATTTGCAATGACAAATTTCTGCAGCTTGTACCAAGATCTTAAATCTTCCCCCCCTCATAAACCAGCAGGAATGTACAGAAATAGAACAAATGCCCTTTTTCTTCTCTTTCTTTTTCTTGTTACAGCACCTTTGGTGTATCTTACTAGAAGGAACAGGCAGAAGAGCCTTACCTAGAGTGGATCTGTTCCTGCTGACGAGCCAGCAGTGGTAGCCAAACAGAAACATGAGGCTTACAAAGAACATGATTGCCACGAAGAGAAGGAAAAGGATGTGAAATTTGGAACGTCCATTAGTCAGCTCACCCTGGAAAGGAAAGCAACACAGAACAAGTGACAGGAACAAATTAAGGATGGAAATTATTTGTACTTAGAAATACAATTCTAAAACTCCTATTGGGAGTTCTCAAACTTTTACAGACAAAATTCAACCTTACTATAAAAAGCAAAAAGAGACAAAGAAATGAATGTGGTTCATTTCCCCTCCTGTACCACAGCACAAAGAGTGGGGGGTGTTATTAACTCTTGGTATGGTTCAGAGCCAGCCCACCACAGCTGCCCAGGTGGGCATGAGGAACACCCTGGGAAATGAGCATGAGCTCTTGAAGCCCTCATTAAGGTCTGCTGAGTTTCCTGTGCATACATTAAAATTCTGCACCTTGCTCAAGGTAAGCCCAGAGAAACCTGCCCTCCACATCTGCATCTATGGGGGGGTGTTAGAACTGTGCACAGATGGATGTGGAAAGTTTAAAAGCCAAGTGGGACTTCTCCAGCAGAAGAGCCAGGTACCAGAGGTGCCCAGCAGTGACACGGAAGGTTCTGGGGACCTCCATGGCTCAGGGCTGTGTGTGAGGAACAATTAGTACACAGCAAAGGTACTTAAACACAAACAGACAGAGTTATTGAGCAGAGGGGACAGAAATAGAGGCCAAGGGCCAAGGGCCAGTGTCTTACTGGAGCTGTCAGCTGGCCTTGCTTGCATAGAAACAATCAGCAGTAACAGCATAAAAGCCTCCTTTGGTTCACTCAGTTTTTTAAATTGAAAAAGGAGGCCTATGGGGGTTAGAAAATGAACATGGTTTTTTGACACGTTTTTTCTTTTCAGTAAATATGTACAAATCATTGCCAGAATCCTACACATCAATGCCAGACTTTCCAAGGGACACCCATGCAAACACAAGGACAGGGAAGGAACAGAAGCTCTCTGCCAGAAAATAATCTACAGGCTGAAATTCCTTGCTTCTTGCTTTGTGCATTTTGCACATCTAACAGGAGGTGGACGCCCAAAGGGCCCAGGAAACACCTCCCAGGAAAATGCAGCCCCTTCCTTCACTGCCTGAGAACAACAAAGCACAGAGAGTCACTGAAGCCCACGAGACTGACAGGAGACGAAAAAGTAACTGGATTTCATGACTTACTGTCCAATACTTAATGAAATACTTGAAGACTGTTGCAGCAATATACAAGCAATACAACAAAGAATAGGCTAAGAACAGTAGAAAGAATTTGTAGTTAGAAAATCCAATGCAGTTATTCACCCTGGAGGACAAAAGCAAAGTTGAAATCAGGATTTGTGCAGCACACAGTGGTTGTAACACAACGAGCACGACCAGGTTTGGGGGCTTTGAAAGGCCCGGATCACACCACCGAATTTGCCAATAAGCAGCTCCCCTCAGTGGCCAAAAGGGAATAGAACTGTTGGCTCTGCTTCCCTCTCAAACCCTTCCTGTGGGCCAAGGAGAAGCGCAGCTCAGATTTTTGGGATTGTTTAGAGGTTGGCACCACAGACAAATGGGTCACAGAGGCAGGAGCTCCTTCCTCCTGTCTGGGTCTTGTCTGCCAAGGGAATCAGAGCTGGGAGTTCTGTGCTACTTTCTTCCTTTGCAGACCTCAGGAGCCACCTCACGCCTGCCTGTTTGCTTACATACAGCCCAATTAACCCCACACTTGGTTAGAATTCTCCATGCACAGGACAGCTCTAGAAAGGAACACGGGGATGTACAAAAATCCATAGTGGGTGTTTGTGTCAGAACTCAGGTTTGGAAAATCATCTACTATTTTGATAACCAAGAGGGTTCAGGTAGGGAAATGTTCGTGTAGTTTCTGAATTCTTAAATTTTCCTTTTTTTAAAAAAAGGAGGAATTTAAGAAATTTAGTGGCAGCAATTCTGAAAGGTGGAAAGCTCAGTTATTCCATGCAGCTTTCTGCACAGACTGTCTCTGATCAGCATCAGTTCAGAAACAATCCATGTGCAAATGTTGTTATTGGAAGCACCCCAAGTACAGCTGAAACACTGAGACAGCCCAAAGGAAAGGCTAAGCTGGAGCCCTTTTAAATTTAAATAATAGTTAATGAGTGTATTAGCAGTTGGGGTTTAAATTTTATTAATATAATAGCATTTTTACACATGGGTTATGGAGCAAACATGAATGATTTGTTAAAATTTAATTTCAGGCAAATTTTAAAGTGCAATTATTTTATAATTTTCCCAAACTCAAGAGATGAATGGGCTAAAATGTGAGAGGCATACAGACATGAGAGGCATACAGAAATATATCTAAGTAGCCTTTCCTTTCAGAAAACCACAAACCAGTATCTAGGACATACCATGGACAGTGATGATCCATTTTTAGCACACACCTGCAAAGGACAAAAAAGGAAAATGGAAGATTTTTAATTGGTACTTCATTACCAACTGCAGGTCAACAGCAAAACTTTGATTTTTGTGAGGTTTGTACACGGTAGACACTCAAAATTATGCTGTCTCTAAGTTTTTTAAGGTAGATATAATTTTAAGATGGAACATTTCTTAGAGTTTGAAGACCAACTAATGTCCTTGGGTCGATAAAGAGACAAGAGAATGATTTCTGCCCTAGAGCACTGCTGGCTGCAGCTGGAACAGAGAGCCTGGGGAACCTTTTTGTGTAAAAAGACACATGAAGGAGCAGCCCACTCACAGAACCTTGTGGTGACTGCACTGGGGTGAAGGACAGCCCATGACTTACATGGCACAAACAGAGCAATGGTGACAACGATCAGGTTTGATCAGCTGGCATCTGTCACAGAACCGAATCCCTGGAATTAGAGACAAATTAACACAAAATAATGGAAAAATGCTCTTTTTTTCATGTCTTAGTTGATACTGTGCTCATTTTCTAACTATTCTTTTTTTTCCTCCGTCACTTCAGCAGGTGAGCTGGTGTTTGCTGCCAGGTCACAATCAGGTAAGCTCATAATTCTGCTGGAGACTTGCAGATGGGGCAACAATCAGTGAAAGCATAAAATCATAGAACCATGGAATGCTTTGGGTTGGCAGGGACTCTAAAGTTCAACATGTTCCATGTTCCTGCCAGGGGCATGGACACATCCCACTATCCCAGGTTGCTCCAAGCCCCATCCAACCTGGCCTTGGACACTTCCAGGGATCCAGGGGCAGCCACAGCTTCTCTGGGAACCTGTGCCAGGGCCTGCCCACCCTCACAGGAAGGAATTCCTTCTTAACATCTATCCCAAACCTACTCTCAGCTCAAAAGTGGCAAACCAAAGCTGCACACTTGCATCCACATTTACTCAGACTACCTACATTTTATTTTGATAATTCCCAATTTATTCCAGTTCTCTACTTCAAAATTCTTCAGCTTGCCTGACAGAAACAAGCAGGTCAGAGCCTCCAATATGAACACAGATTTCTTTAAGCTGTGGAGGGAGTGCAGCAGGCTTCTAATCACTGAACAAAGTCCAGAAAACTGATCACAGAAGTATGTCCTGCCTCTCTAAGCCAGACTCCATTTTAAGTAAAAATTAGGACAGATTTGGTTATTCTATTGCTATTTCTAAATACAGACAGCACATGTGGGCTTATGGACTGTAAATCCAAAGGGCAACGTCTTTCTTCTCAAAGGCAGCACGTGGCACTGCACTGAATTTGAGGGTTCAAGGCTATTTTTGTTTTCCCTGAGAGCAAGGGAGAGTCAGTGGGTTTCTGGGAACGCTGTTGGTCAGCAGGATCCTGTGAGTGCCAGCCCGTGCTGCTGGGGTGTGTGGGGGTGGATGTGGGGCCACTGTGCTGGGCTGACCTCCATTCCCTGTCCTCGTGTACACCGGCAGCTTCCTGGCGATCTCGGCGAGGATCTGCCGCTGCACCTCGGGCCTCTCCTCGTTCTCATAGCGCTCCTGGTCAGCGTAGGACATGTGGAACTGCGAGCAGAAGGCACCAGAGGAGCAGTTACCCACGGGGAGCAGAGAGCATTTCACACACAGGTGAGTTTGGAAATGTTTTTATCTCCCACTCCTGAGATTCATGCAGTGGGAAAATGTGGTTGTTAAGACAAAGGGAGGTAGTGAGTGCTGGAGAGCCAGAATACTGAGAGACACATCAATAAGAAATGAAAAAGTGAAATTAAGGCTCATAAAACAACTTACTAGAATTGCTCCTATAGCTGTCTTAGATGAATACCATTACTCACCTTTATAACACATTCAGCACCTCTCTGGTGAACAAGAACCTTTATATTTTTAAATTTTTAAAACTGGGATTAGTTGTTATTTATAAATTTACATTCTTGTAATCAGGATCAGAACAAGGCTGTGTATATTTGGAGTGCCACACAAATATTGACCTTATTCTGTTGCCTCAAACTGAGGGTTTTATTAGTATTTCAGAGAGGTAAAACAAAATGTGAAAAAAAATAAAATCTACCAATCCAAGCAACATGACAGAGTAAATATTTGGGTGAAAAATAATTAAAACACATTTCCCTCTGGCTCTCCTCTCCAGATCAACTAGACTGAAGGATTTTTAAGTTTTATTTAACATCTCTGCTTCTGTTTTGCAAGGAATGAAAGGTGTTGGCTCTCTTACCTTTTTGCCTGGTTGTATTGGGAGAGTGAAAACAGACTTCCAATATGTCCACACAAAGAGCACAAAGAGAATATGGAATACTACAAGATAGGCCACTAAAAACAAAACAAGAAAAGAAAAAACAGAAACAGAGCAATGACTTCTTAAGCAAAGGTTTCATCCATGATGGGCATAATTCAAATTTTTCACAACGATGTCAAAAAAAAAAGAAATGAAAAGAAAAAAGAAAGGAAAATACAGATGTCCATCCAGTGCTACCCATTACTGCAGTCCAGCTAAACCTTATGGCTCAGGGTCAGCAGCATCCCAGAGCTCAGGGTGACCAATCTCAGAGCCTTCCCTGCTCCACCTGATCCCACTCTGTGGGTGAGGAAGATGCAGCTGTCAGAGAATTGTCCCACAGGGCAGTGACAACCCTGTGTCCCTAGGAATGACAGGATTCCTGTCTCTTCCCCACATCCCAGGCACAAGCCCAGCAGAACTGGCTGTGTAAAGGTGAGTTTTGCAATACTCCAGCACCTTCCAGTATTGGGGTTCAGTTGCTGTTAAAAGCAGTGGGAAGCAGAGTGTGCACTGCCCATTCCTGCACCACGTGCTTCTTGTGAGAGCAGAAGGAAATAATATGAGCTTTGCATCACCAGGAAAAGTCAAATTTCTTATTGAACATCTTTTACATTTGCCACAGTTGATACAACAAATCAGGAAAACTTCCCTCAAATTGAGTAAAATAAGGCTTGTGATTACTGAGGAAGAATTGCCAGAATTGTGTCCTTCAGCTGCACAGATTATTTGCCATTTCTTTAACACTTACCTCATTAAGACATTATCAAAGTTACAAGATTGTTATTGCAATGAAATGATGTGTTTAAATAAAACTATCTTGTTTCCCCCGTTTCATTTAAGATTCAAATTCTAGAAAATAAGATTAAAATAACTACTTGGAAAGAGAAATCTAAAATTCAAACACTTCTTAACTATGTCAAAACACTTCTTTTCCTGTGTGAAAATTGGTAAAAAAGGCCAAATGCATCAGTGAGACTTTCTAATGAGATAGCAAATGATGGGACACATCTCACAAGGATGTGATGGACTGTGGGAAGGAGCTGTGAATCACAGCTAAGTCATTCTCATGCTCCAAGCTGGTTTGAGATGTTATCCCTACACTACAGGTGGAGCTGAGCCATTTTTAATTAACATGGAAGGAGATAAATCTTGCAACAGGTTTAATTTTGTTGATCAGCCCAGCAGCACATTAGAGGAAGCTGACCTGGAGATGCACTAACGGATTAGGCAACTATTAACTTTCTTCTGCTGAGTAGACATTAACATCCTGCTTTCTGCAGTTTCTCTGTAGCAATTTCAAACATTAGAACTGCTCTATAGGGGAAAGAGAATTTACTGGATGCAGCAGTCTGGAGGATCTTTAAATGTCAGCTGGCACTGTTCTTTATGGAACAGCTTACAACTACACCTACTTCTGTCCTTTATAACCTCTGAAGAAGAAAGTCACCAAGAGAGCACCTGGGGATTAGCCAAAAGCATCCAAAGCACCTCCAGGAAAGAAGAGGAAGAATATTAAAATAGCCACTGACTCCTTATTCTTAGAACATGGCTGTTACTTCCACCAACACACCGGTCTGAAGAGTGTCACTGAGCAATCCTACCATGTTGTGACTCAGGATCTGTTAGTGGGCACCAGAACTGAGAGAAAAAGCTCATCAAAAATAGCTTTCAGCTTTCACTGAAAGGTCAAATGGAACCAGGTGGGCTGCAGATGGGAACTAGTATTTTCTGTTTGTCTTGTAAAATCAGCTCTGGAAATGTGAAAGGGAAAGGGAGAAGAGGCGTGTGGGTGTGCACAGACACACACAGCTTTTCCTGAAAGAGTCAGAGGGATCAAAGCCTTTCCATGTTCTGCCCAGACTGTGACTAAACAAAACATTTCCCAGTGCACCCAGAAGGTGCAGCCTGCTCTGAGTACCTCAGGAGGGTGCAATTACAGGAAGGAAACACTGAAAGAGGATGTACCTTTAAAAAAATGACAGCAGATATTTCTGATATTTCAGATAGAACAGTTGTGAGTTCTTTAACACAAGGATCGAATGGCAAATAATAAATTATCACACGTACCTTTCTCCACAGGGTTGCTCACAGTCACTGGAAAAGAAAAAATAAATGTGTGTTCACAGAGGAAATATGAATCCCAGAGAAGTTTGTGACAATTAACATTTCAATGTGAAATAAAGCCATTTTAGGAAAAATGTTCAAATTCAAGAGGCAAAGAGAGAACCCACAGATCAGCATCAAACCAAAAGCATCCGTAACAACTCTTCTTCACTCTCACACACACCCACAGCAAGATGTTCAGTCACTGTTACTTGTGCTGTGTTTTCCCTGCTTATAAAATATATTCTGTATATTTTGCATTAGAAATATGACAAAAGCAATCCGCTGGTGACAGTGAGAAGATCACCAGGGCTCCTCTAGCACGTGCCCAAGCTGCATCTCTATGCATTTACCACATACTTGCAGCTGCTTTCCACTGGTCTCCAGGTGGTCTTGACCCTCCTCTGTAAGCACTGTCCCAAAGCATTTCTGCATCAGTAGGATTAAAAAGTTATAAATCTCTCAGCTTTGGCCAAGTCAGCAACTGCAATGACTTCGTAGTTTTTACATTTCTTACCAGCAGAAATTTTACAACCCCTTCTTACTTCACCATAGTGAGAGAAAAGCCCCTACTAACAGAAGCCCTTTGAGCAACCAGCAAAAGGTGCATTGTTCAATGCCTTCTTCTTGTGACTATTTGAAAATCCATCCATTACTTTAAAAGCCAGCATCCAAGTTTAACAGAAGAGACAAGGACAGCTTTCTTGAACTGAAAACAGAGAGTTCTGTGATGTTTTGACAGCGTTCCATGGAAGACAAAGCTCTGTGACACACAGAAATACAGACAAAAAAAGAAATGGAATATTTTTGTGTCTCTGCCCACTCAATTTCAGGTAAACAAGACTGTTAGGAAACATTTAGTTTTTCCTTTGGTTTTCTGTCAATCAAGCTATGATGAGCTTTAAACAAACACTGTCTGGCTCCCTCCTGACCACACCTGCAGCAGGGCCTTGCTAAGGATTTTACCTGAGAAAAAGAGCACAAGCACAGATGAACCACAAAAGGTTCTGTGGCGGGATCATTGTTGTCACTGTGGCAGCAACTGCCAGCCAAACAGGAACTCTGGCCTCCTCCTGTGACTCACTGGTCACCCTAGGCACTGAGAGCTCAAACCCAGCATCAGGAGGTGCCTCCCAGACATCACTCTCACAGCCTTTCCAGTGCTCTACACAGCTGAAAATGCAAACCAAGATTCCAGACAAAGCATTCAGTATTTACAGGCTCACAGCAGCTGAGAAGAGGCAGCCAGCTCAGCGAGCCTTGCTGTGTTGGAAATGTGGGGAGAGACAATGTCCTGGTTAGCAAGTGACAGCACAGGCCAACAGTTCATGCTCAAATCCTGAAATAATTCAGTCATTTCAACTTCTGCATAGATAAACTCCTCCACACACCAATAAAAGAGATGAGAGAGAAATGGGCCAAAAAAACAGGTGGGTGTGGGCAAATGAATGATTTTAAGCTGTGATTTCAGGCAGTGAGCTGAGCTCCTGCCAGCTGAACCAGCACTTGCAGAGCAACACAGCCCCAATCCAAACCTCACTCAAATCACCTGAGTCTCCTCTAGCAGCTGCACTGAGACCTGGGATCAGCCCGCGTTCAGCTTACGGAATTTGCACAGAACGTTTCAAAAGACTGACAGCATTTCAGGAAAATAATCCCCATTTTTTATCACATGTTCTAATGACAGTTACATGCACCACTGAGATACCATCCCATGTGAATTCTTGAAAGAAACAGCCCAAAGTCTCAGAGATGGGATAAATATGATGAAGCGTTTTGGAGCTTTGTCAAGCTGCTGATTAGAACAGACCAAAAAAGCTGCATTTCATTCTAGTTCCCATTGAGAAAAAACAACAGGTCTCACTGCACTGCCGACCCTAACAAACACCTGATTTATGTTTGCTGTGCAGCACCAGAAGGCATCTCATGCCCCAGAAACATCTCAAACCATCCTTTCTGGGACCTCTGGTTTCCTTTATCTGCCTTACTCTATCCTGGGGAGCCACATCTCCTCCTGACAATTTCACAAATCCAGGCTTCCAGCTCTTCTCTCCATCAAACCGGGCAACTCTTTTTTTTCAGTAGCACACTGAACCAGAAATAACAAACATAAGAAAGTTTGCAACTTACTATACAGTTCAATTGCTACATTAAATATACAATTACTAGCCAGCATAAAGCTTCCTCTTCTAAAAGGCAGTGTTTTCTGTGCTACTGTAACAACTCCAACCCTGAGTGGGATTTCATGTAACCTCCTTCTTTCCTTTTCAGAATATAAACATAAAACGATTGTAAGGCAGGGCACAAACTGATGTTTGTAACTGTTTTGCTCATAAATCACATCTGGACGTTATCAAAGCTCATAAATGACATCTGGACGTTATCAAATCACAACAACACTGGCTTTCACTGTGGGATCACTCTCCCAGCCCTCTCAAACGTCCCCTCTCCGCTGCCAGGAACACACAAAACAAGGGCTCATGACTAACAAACAGCACCCACAGCCCGCACCAGCCCGGCCGGGGCACAAACCCTGTGGGAAACAGGGCAGCACGCCCTAAACCCCCTCATTAGTCCCGAAAAGGACTCGACTCCTATTAAAGTGTTTCTCGCTGTGCACGGATCACTGCCGGGCTCGGAGCCTCGGGACACCGCGGGCACCTGGGCGGGCGCGGGGCCCCGCGAGGAGGAGGAGGATGAAGAGAGGATGAGGAGAACGAGGTGGAGGGGAAAAAGCGAGGAAGAGGAGGAGGAGGAAGGGAAAAAAGAAGAGGAGAAGGAGGAGGAAGAGGAGAAAGAGAAGGGGAATGGCCCGAAGCCCCCGGCCCGCCACGTCCCCCACCCGCTGCTCCGCGGGGGCCCCGGCGGCGCCGAGGCGCGGCCCGGGGCGGGCGGGCCCCGCGGGGCGCGAGCAGGCGCTCACCGAGGCAGAGCTCGCAGACGTATCCGTAGTAGGACCAGAGCAGGAGCAGCGCGATGAGCAGCACGGGCAGCCAGGAGAAGGCGCGGCGGCAGCAGCGCAGCCCCCGCCACAGCGCCATCCCGCCGCCCTCAGCGCCGCGCATCGGCGCGCGGCTGCGCGGGCTGGCCCGGGACCGGCGCGCTCGGCGCTCGGCTGAGCGGCCTGCGCTCAGCGGCGCCCCCTGGCGGGGCGGGCGGGCGGTGCCGCTCGGGGCGGGTCCCACCTGAGGGACCTTTACTCCAATACTTTACTCAAAACCTTTACTTTTCCCTCAGAATCCGCCCGATCCCCGCCTTGGTGCTGTTGGCGAGGGCAGGGAGGTGATGCCGCCCCTCTTCTCAGCCCTGTGGGGCATACCTGGGGCGCTGTGTGCCGTTCCGGGCTCCGCCGCACAGTACACCCGGGGCTGGAGCGTCTCTGAGGGGGAAGGCTGAGGGAGCTGGGGCTCAGCAGCCTCGGGAGGAGACGGCTCATTAATAAATATCTAAAAGGAAGTGTCAGAGGATGCACCAGGCTCCGCTCCCGGGGCCCAGCAATAGCACCAAAGGAACGGGCAGAAGCTGATGCTCAGAAAATTTCAGCTGGACATGAGAGCGAGCTTCCCTGGGCAGTGCCCAGCCCTGAACAGAGACCAGAGAGGGGCTGGAATCTCCTGCCTGGGGACATTCCGGAGCTCTCTGGACACAATCCTGTGCCCTGTGCTCTGGGATGGCTCTGCTGGAGCAGGGAGGTGACACCAGATGGACCCAATGTGGTAAATCCTGAGCCATCCCGGGATCTCGTGGCGCTGTCCTGTCCTCTGCACAGACAAAAGCTTGGCATTGCTCTCCAATCCCCTCAGCACACACCTAGGAGTATGTAAATATATATATATATATGTTTACAAACACACATATACAAGTGAATATATATAAAATATTCGCTTATTGCTGTGGAATATTCAGGGGAGGATCAGATTCCAGACAAGTCGTGGAACAAAAGGAGTGCCCTCTCCAACATGGTTTTTAATGTACAAAAAAGAAAACAAAAATAATCCCCCCGCCCCAGACTGCCCCACAACCCCCTCTAAATTCCAGCAGGAATTTCCTCATTCCCTCTCTCAGTGATTTGAGTTGCAGCTGCAGGTGATCAACTCCACTCTATCACGTCTGATAAGGACACTCGTTTTCTCACCAAGAGAATGACTTATCTGACAGAATGTTCTTCTGACAAACCCCTGGTGTAATTTGTGACACTTTCTGGTCACCTCTTTGTTCAGCAAGGTTTTTTTCCCCTCAGAATTTGTTCTAAAACTTCCCTTATTGGGATCACACTCAGAGCTGTGCTGCCTCTACCAAGCCTTTTCTCTTTTTGACACCACATTTGCCATTCTCCTGCCCAGATCAACGAATTAAGACATCACCCACAAATCCTCTGACTACACCTGTAATTCCATATTTAGTTCTCTCAATATTTTAAGATGGGTATGATCTACAACCTCTGTTTTTGACAAAAAATCTGTTCACTACTGAACTGACAACTGTCTTAACCTCTTCTCTACTACCCTGCTCAGGCTATAAAATCAGTATAATCCTCTTCTCCAGGCTTCTAAATTCTTTCTTTAATATAAAACCTGAACGTTTTGGCACTTGTTTTAATTTTCTGAGTGTGGTTGAACTTAACCAAGATTTTGGGTAGCTGTAGCAAAAGTGCTTTGCAGATAGGATAACATAGGTTGGCTTGAGCTGCATGTAACCCTAAACTAGAAATATATATTTATTTTCATATTACGTAATATTAAGATTATATTTATTTATATATATACATATACATATGAAAAGTCTCCTCTCAGGAGACTGAGGAAGAGGATCTAGAACACATACACTCAAAGTTTTGAGGATTTAGGAGATGTGAGTGCCCCCTGCTTTCCCTCCTTGCCCCACTGTAAGTGCTGAGAAGGAATATTTTTGCCAGCAATATATTTTATAATCAGTAAGATTTAAAAATCACTCTTGTGAGTTAAATCACTCCCTGAAGCAAATCACAGAATCTCCTCTCTTGAGATAGATGGGATGAACAGCACATCCATGGGACATTTTCCCTTCATATTCCTGTAAAACAGGAAGGCACCTTCCCAACAGACAGCAAAGGAGCATGCAAAAGTGAGAGCAGACTGTGTCAGATAAGGCCTCTGCAAATAAAGTTAAGACATTTTCTTTGGTTGAACAACCAGTATTTCTATGTTCTCTAAGGTCCACATGATTATTCTCAAAATTCTTTTGTTTCCTGGGCTTCCATAGGAGACTTAGTTATATAAACACGAGCTCATCTGAGGTAAGATTCCCAAATACAGCTCTTTAAAACAAAGCAATCAGGTGACCTTAAATCTTGTGATTCTTAGGATGTATTTCTGCACTTGTGGTTCTGCTGGTAGCTCCCCATTTGAAAAAGCTGGAGTGAGATATAAGTGGGATAAGGCACCTTGTGCCCTTTCCAGAAATCAACACTGCAGGTGTTATTCAAAATAAATATTAAATTTAAATTGACCTTCAGCCAATTGTAAAAGTAGAGAAAAAGCTCTCTGAGTGTGCAGCCTGGTTGGACTCCACAGAAACTACGGAAGTGGGATTATCCTAAATAACATCCCTATTTTAAATTTAACCCTGACCTTGAGCAGTTTCCTGCTGAGACACATTTCACACAACTTTAAACAGGGAGGCTTCTGCAGAGTTCAGGAAGCTGTGATTGCACCCACGGTGTAACTACACCGTTTAAAACTACTGGCACAGACTGCAGAAAAACCCCAAGCCCCAGCAGCTTTAGGGTGATTTAAATAAGGCTCATCATCGCTGGTTCTTCTTGAAAAACAAATTGTTGGGTGCTTAAAGAAAGGAAGATGATGGTGACTCACCAGTGGCAGAGACACTCTGGGCATCAGGGAACACGTCATCCCCAGGAGCTAAAAACCACAGCAAGGCTGACAGCAGCTAAGACAGCTCTGGCATTGGTCCAAACACAGCTAAAATAAATCAGGAAACAGAAGAAATCAGGAAAGAAATGCCAGTTTTTACAATTGCAGAAACCCCCACGTGTACCAATTTCACTGAGATGCTCTTTCATGTGAGAAAATGCTTTAAAAAAATCACTCACGGTAGAAAATGCTCAGTTGTCTCGTCCTGTAAAAGAAAGAAACACAATTGGAAAATGCAGTTTGTCTTTGCAGTGCTGAATGTGAAACTATGCCTGGATTACTGTCTGAATTTCAAAATTATATTCTGATCCAGAAAACCCAAGTTGCACAATTTGCTTCCCCACTGTTCATTTCCAAATCTTGAGTCTTGGAGCTGTGGGGAAAGTCAGGTACAACCCCTGCAAACTGCAGGGAGCCAAAGCCTGGACAGAGCCAACTTTTCAAACTACTCTAAAGCAAGGGCATGTAAAATAAAGGTGTGACCCAATTGTCAAGACATATTTATAGCTGGGTAGGTTACACATGCTTTTGCTTATCAGTGACAGACATCCAAGAAGATTTGATAATCCATGAGCTAAAATGGGAACTAAACCCAACCCTGGCTGGCTCCTGAGCTCCTGCTGAGCTAAAAAAGCTTGTGAGCCCTCAAGGCTGGCCCATTTTTGTCCTTTATTGTAGGAAAACACAGCAACCCTCCCTATCTCAATCCCATCTTGGACTATCACACGCTGTACTTGTAGGTAAGGAGATAAATCTACTCTAAAATGCTAAATGTTATCATATCAGATTTGGGCTTTCTATCAAAAATGCTGCACCCCAGCTCGTGCAGAGGAGCTTTCCTAGAGCATGCAGTGAGGATTGGTACTGACCTACAAGCAAGTTGTGTTTTTGTTATAAGCATTAAGAATTCTCCACTATGTGGGATAAGCCGCCACATTTACACATTAACACCTTCCCAGAAACCCCAGGAAAAGCTCTTTTTTGTTATTTCAGCAGGATTTTGCAGCACTGTAGTGGGACTCCTGCATTTCACAGGAGTTTGTGCACACACACAATGGTCCTACCATTCCTTTATTCACATAAACCCGTGGATCCTGCCTTGCAGTGGAGAAAATAAATTAGGAAACTGCTAGAACATACTCATGTAAATCAGCAGAGCCCTAATGAAGCAGGTGGAGCTCTGTTTGAACATTCAGTTTTAAGATTTCTCTTCAGCTCTCAGACAAAAGTTACACTTAGACAATTAACTTCCCATTAATATTAAACCAAAGTGGATTGACTTTTTCCCTTCAGGTTTCTCAGCTTTTTTTTGTCCTACCCAGCAGTAGCAGCCCTGCCAAGCTGCAAGGGGTGTTTGCTCTTTGTCATCACCTGCATCTGCTCACTCCGATTTCTCATCTTTCCCATCCCCCACTGGAACATTTTCTCCTAATTTAACGTGGAAATACGGGCAGGATATATGGAGTGTGTCTGACAGAACAGATTGCAATTAAAGCTGTTTAAAATAGCACAAAACTGCCACCGAGTGAAAAATTGGCCATTTGCAGTAGAATTGTTCTCATTGTTACATTGTTTGAAAGGATTTGTAAGGATTTAGGGACGTAGAGGGAGCGCTGGCACCATTAGAGGGTGCTGGAGTCCACACAATCCCAATCCACATCCAGCTCCAGAGCTGCTCGTTCTCCACAGGGACAGCAGAGCTTCAGAAAGACAAATCTGGGGATGAAAAGCCATAATCTTGTTTTGTCACGTGTATAAGCCTTGCCCAAATATCGATCGAAATATTTCCCTACAGCTGTTGTCTTCACAGACTCCACAAAGATTTATGTCTGATCAAATGCACTTATAAGATAGATTTAGGTAAAAAGTGCCATGGAATACCATAAACCTGATATTTCCTATTTTCCAAATTCTTCATTTTGCACCCTAAATAACATCCTTCTAATAAGACAGACGACAGATATTTTTTCACACCTTTTAAAAGCAAAACATTAACACAAATATCATTCTACATACTTAGAGCCAAGCTGTCTTACTCATCCCTCCTCTTCTCCTGGGATCACCAAGTGAATCCTGAATTTTTCTCACAGACATTTGTTATTTGACATTGGATTGATCACAGCAGTTGG